GTATATGGTCAGAGTTAGGCTATAAAGTCTAAAAAACATGAATGGAAGTCAATGGAAGGTCCCCACAGGGTTGAGAAACAAACGTGTGTGTGTGTGTGCGTGCGTGTGTGCTTGTTTGCGATTGACAGTATGAACTACGAAGCTAAAACGAGGCCCAGTCTTTACTACGCCAAATGTTTTTAAGACATTTCTTGACACAAATATTCTGTTGCATTTACATCTTCTGTCCTCACAAACTGAGACTTTGGTGAGAAAACAAGAGTTTTATTTATTTTTTTTCAGTGAATCTAGACTTAAAATACAGTGTTACCCAGGAATGATGAGGTAACTTCGTATTTGGCTCAAATGACCTAGAAACCAAAACAACAATGGACCCATATAGTAGTGTAGGAGGGAACAAGAAAGTGCTTGATGTTCTACCTTTCCTGCACACCCGAGTTAAAGAGAAGATAAATGCATCGATAAAAGGAACCAGATCTTGAAGATCCATTCTCTTCAAAAAGCCATTCAGTTTTGAATGGTAGTGATGTCATGACGTTTGACTATGGCGTCAGGACCGCACCACGTGTTGTGTCAAGTGGAAAATCCCCACTCCCCTCCAGAGCTGCTTGACTCCTCAGCCTGTTCTCCTTCGTTCCAGTGGAAAAGCATATAGGAGGAACGTATGTCCTTGCATTTATGGAGGAAAACACGAAGAAATCACGAAAAGAAAAACACTCAAAACAGTTCTAAGCTGTCTGCAGCCTGGTTCCTATTGTTTGTTGTAGAAAGCTGTTCAAAAGATTTGAACTGTTCATAAATGTCACATCTCCAGATGGAATCGTGTTCATCATTCAGTAATAGGGATTTGAAATCTACCTTCAAATTTAGAAAATAAAATTCTTTAAACATTTTCACGTTGCTACTAATTCTGCTAGACAAGAAACTTTAAATTCCTTCATTTTGTCCGCTCAAGTGAATCAGTGTAAAAGGAGGATACCAGTATTCCCACAGTAAAGTTGAGCTCACCCGAAGTTTCTACGTCATAATGAATAAAACACTGCATGGATGTTATTTTTCAGTAATGTTGGTGAGTGATAGGTGCTGTATCAAAATAAAGAACACTGACAGGAAATGTTAGCAGGTCACTAATATATATATATTTGCAGTACTCCATTTATTTCTAGTATTTAAAGGGAATATATCATGCAAAATCCACTTTTTTAGCTGTTAAATAAATTTTGTTGTGGACTTGGAGGCTCTATGAGTGCAGAAAAGTTGAATTTAGTCTCTCCTGATGCTGCAAAGATATCTTTATATGTAAGGCTGGATGGACAAATCTTCTCTTGCTCTTTTAATTAAATTGTAAATAAAATGTTTCTGCAAGGTAGAAAACGTAACACCCCCCCGCTCATAATAAAATAAAGTAAAAAATAAAAAACAGAGCGGACCGGTCTAGAAGCCGGAGGGGGCGGGGCTTCACACATCTTAAAGGAACAGTAACAAAAGCAGCTACTTTGAGACACACACCAGAAAAGGGGTAAAAGAGAAGCTGGTAAACTTAGAATATGAAGGAATTCAGACCAAAGCTTTGTAGTTCCACTTTATACAGACCCAAACTGAATGATTTAAATATGAAAAGGAAGGATTTAAATAATCATATGTCTACTTTAAAAATGACTGCACTTCTTTCATTGGTATATACTGTATGTGTGTAAGTCATCAGCTCTCTACAGGAACACTAAGACAATTAGCAAAAGGCAGAAATGAAAATCTCAGAGACAGTCACATAGTTTCTACTTTAATAAGAATGCACCTTGGCACCCCTTTATTTACTTCACTTTAGGCTATTATTTTACAAACTAGATATAAAAGAACATAAATAAATGACATAAGTTACATGTACCTAGAGCTCCTTGACCAGAACAAAACCAAAAACAAAAAAGCTTAATAATGTCCCAAAAAAAGTACAAAAAAGATCAAGAGAATGTTAGATCTACATGGCTAGATCATTATGGCATCGGAAGGCATACAATGACAAACATTAACTCTTGTGTTTTCTTTTTCTTTCATTTTTTTCAACTCATTTAACATTGAAGTAAAGGAAAAAAGTATTTTACAGTACATTCTGGTTCCTTCTCCTTCCCTAACACATCTTGCATATTTCCAAACAGGTCCTTTTTTTTTCTCAATAGATAACCCAAACCCTTCCCCCAAACAGAAAAAAAAAAAACTAAAATTACCAAAACTGAAAAGTTTGCAAAACCGCATTAAAGACAGAGGTGTATTTGTATTACTGTATATGAAACTTCCCTTAGGAGTTCAGTAACATTCATGAAAGTATGCTTTAACCAGAGGGGAAAAAATGAATCCACTGAGTGGCTGTATCATGAGCTCTGAAAAAACAAACAAAATAATCAACAAATTATCCTTTTCTTACGCTCCTTTTTCTTAACTCTTCTGCCCTTTTTCTGTGTACAAGTTTGTCATTTTTCAACAGTTTCCAACAAACATCAAGAAAGACGACTTGAAAAGAGCCCGGAGAGTCCAGTCTGCTTTAGTGAGCACAGGAGACATTTAGTCCCACTCATGTCTCCGTGTGTCCTTTCGCAGCTGCAAAAGCAGAAACGGATTGCATTCCATGAAGCTGTTCAATAAATGCTGTTGCTGAGGAGAGTTTGCACACGGTGAGCAACATCGATTTTTTTTAAGACGACACAGAAAGCAAAAGCAAAAAAATCAAACAAAAAAAATGTCCAGGATTTTTCTTCATTTTTATCAAAAACTATACAACTCTGTCATCTCACTCTCCTCCACAGATTCTTGAAAACAGACACAAAACTGATACTGGTGCTTTAGTCTTTTTCAGTCTTAGAGCAAACACACACGCACACACTCAACATCATCCCATCCGTACAATTCAAATAAACCCCTCTTTACTTTACATGCAAACAAAATAAAACAATAATTAAAAAAACTCACAAATTAAAAGTTATTTAAAAAGTACATAAATCCTCTGGAGCAGGGCTTTTCAGTTATGTTGCATTCTTCTTCTTGTCTCCTTTTTTTATGCTGCCAAATCATTCATGGCAACTTCCAGCTGGTGGAGGGCCAACAAGCACAGGAGAGCGAGTCAAGCTGACGTGCGGCGGACATCCCAGGTGCTCGTGGACGGGTTTCTGTCATCTTGTCAGCGGAAGAGACCCCAAAGGAGAGAAGAGGGAAGCGGGACGACGAGGAAGAAGGACGACGGAGAGGAAGAGCAGGCGAGCAAGGCCAAGATCCCGTTCGTGATGGACGGCGGCAGCTGGGGAGAAAGGGAAATGGTAAGTGGCTTGAATTTATACAGCGCTAAAGAAAGGAGGTCACAGTGGTTTTTATACGTAAACATTTTCTGCTCAGCATCCGGTTCCAGCCAACAACGGCCGATCCTTCAGCTCCTCGGCTAAACAAAAAGAAGTGGCCGAGCTGCAATGTGCAGAGACTGTAAAGTACAGGCCTACAGGGGGAAGTATGGATTTTGTGGCGACAGTGCATTAACATTTGTTTGCCACATGTTGTTTGTACTTAATTTATGAAACATACCCTTGATTTATTGGCACAAATGAAAAGCACACAAAGAGGCATTTACAGAGCATCTGCATTAGATAAATACTCTGTGTTTAGCCAGTGCTGCTGCAGCAGGATTTATTTGTCAATGGAAAACAGATTCCTGTTCAGTTATTGACATTTCTCAGGCACAATTGTTGATTAGTTGTTGCTTGTTAGCTAATAATATTTGACATGAGCTATATTTATGTGTTCAAAATGTATTTTTGCATATATAGCATATTTTTAGATTTCACAATTTGTTTACTTTCTGATAGATACAGAATGGGCAGACCTGATGAGCTGATGGCTAGTCCAAACACAGTCATTGCCATCCCCTTAAATCAGCTTCAGTCTTTTCAAATTCATGTTTTTTCTCCTCGCAAAACCATCATCAGTTTTAATACTGCTTAGTTATTTCAGCAGAATCTTTAAAATTCCTTATAACAAAGATAGTGGGCGGCTGTGGTGGGGTGGTTAAGGGAGTCGTCCTGTAACCAGAAGGTCACTGATTCAATACCCCATCCAGCCGTTTCAGTCATTGAGTCCTTGGGCAAAATGCTTCACCCGCCTTGCCTACTGATGGTGGTCAGAGGGTCCGGTGGCGTGGTGCAAGCCAGCCCTGTCTCTGTCAGTGTGCCCCAGGGCAGCTGTGGCTGGAGCTTACCATCATCAGTGTGTGAATGTGTGTGTGCATGGGTGAATGCGTAAAGTGCCTTGGGGTCCAAGTGGACTTGATAAGGCAATATATATAAGTTCAAGCCATTTACCAATCTCTAGAGGAGTGCTACAACATTACACATGTAAATAACCAAAGATTTCCACATAAGTAACCATGTAATAAATAACTAGCAGCAGTGTAACAGTTTAGGGTAAATTACTTGAACTTATCAAGTTCATATAAACTCCAAAGTGTTTTACACTTCCACACACACATTCACACACTGATGGTGGTAAGCTACATTGTAGCCACAGCTGCCAGAGGCAGGGTTGCCCTGCACCACTGGCGCCATTGGACCCCCTGACCACCATCAGCAGGCAGGGCGGGTGAAATGTCTTGCCTAAGGACACAATGACTGAGACAGCTGGAAAGCGGGATCAAACCGGCAGTTCCAGGATGATTCCCCTAGCTCCTTCGCCACAGCCGTACAACATTGTGGACTGCTGTGAAATTTGAAAGATTGTAGCTGATTTATGGCAGAAAAAGCCAACTTTGATCTAGGATGTGTTCAAATCTTCTGTTAGCTCATCAGTCCTGTTCAGCTCAAACTAGATCAAGTTATCTGCAGTGAACAGGGTTTGAATTCTGATTTCAATTCAATTCAGTTTATTTACATAGCGCCAATCACAATCAACGTAATCTCAGGACACTGTACAGACAAATTCAAATACATTATAAAAGACAATAAATAAAAATTATCAATCGAAACAAACCAGCAGATTGTGCTAAATTATCACTTCATCGCAGTCTCCCATCCTGCACAGCAAATTGGTGACAGTGGACAGGAAAAACTCCCTTTTAACAGGAAGAAACCTCCAGCAGAACCAGGTTCAGAATGAGTGGATTTAATAACCGTTACACAGAACTTTACTGCAAAACAGCTTACTTTGATAAAAGAACCTTTCTGTCCAGAAAATTATATTTCTTTCATACATGATTAGTAATTTATTCAAAGACACATTTAAATTTTTTCAAAATACATTTTTTGTGTGTTTTTGATTTGGATTTTTAGGATTCTAACATAATTCCTACATCATTAAATAATTGTTTTGGGGTCATTAACTTAGATTCATCTGGTTATTATATAAATTGTGTTAGCAAAGAGTGAACATTCCTCGTCTTTGTTTACAACTAAATTTGGTGTTACGTAAGGTTTCCCATTAAAATTTAGGATACCTTGACAGAGTTCATTTCATATAATCTTAGCACTAATTTTTGCTTTAATGCTCTTCACAGCTCAGCTTTCCTCCCAGCAAATGAACCTATTCCTGTCCACAGTACAGCTTATGGTTGCTGTTTCTTTTTATAAGCGAGAACTTTACCCTTTTAATTTTTTGCCTGGTGTTTCTGATTCCATCCTTCTCGCTTTTACTCATTTTATATTCAGGGGCTATTTTACATAATCAATATCCGTCACGCACTGAGACTGTCTGAAGAGTACTCATCAATGTTTGAATGTAAACTAATGATTAGCAAATGTTGGCAACAAACCGTGACTCTGCTGATTTGGATCATTTATTAAGGTAGACATTTGGTAGTGAACGATTCGTATTTAGTGTTTATTTTTAACGGATTCAAATTAAAAACTTTGAAAAATTATGTATTTTGACAGTTTTTCTGACTTTAAACAGCATTTTACTTTAGAAGTCCAAACCCAACAATCAAATTGACAGAATTTATTTTTTAGAACTATTATTTAACTAGAAAATTAATGTGCCAAATTAAACAATAAAGTTGGGTTTATTCAACTATTAAATGGGGCTCTGTGGAGTTTATTCTCTAATGGGTGTGTTTACTGGTGTGCATAAATTATGAGTTTTAACTCAAGAAAAAAAATCTATTGAATAATCGATCCAAGACTTAACAAATAAGCACACTAAGTAGCTGATATTTCAACAAAATGCATCAAAACCCAAGTTTCATCCAGGAGCACGTTCTCTTTATTCCTATTAGCAGTGTGTAAACTCTGTGGGATTGGTATGGCTGACTGGGAGTCGGCTGCTGATTAATTCTTCTCATTAGCATGCCAGAGGCAGCCGGCCTGTAGACTGATCACAGAACAGTGGTTATTGATCTGCTTGAGGTGCAAGTTGCACCACCTCAGGCTTAACACCGCTTCTGGAGCTGAGGGGCCAGTGATGAGGAGGTTGTGGGGGCGAGGTGCTAATGAATCCTACAGGCTCTCTGAGGCTGCAAATACTTCTAATAAATCAAGCTTTAAACCAATTCCTTTATTTAAAAAAAAACATTTCTGTATTGGGATTTGGCAGCAGAGTGAAAACAGATTACTCACCTTGATGTCAAGTTGAGTAATCTTCCATTATCTTCTTGTTTCTTTAGCAACAACACTGACTGTGGTTCATTCTGTATCCACATTGCTACTTTGAATAAATCCTAACAAAAAAAAATCCTTCATCTTGCCTCCAGTTTCTCCAACCAGTTCAACTGGTCCAAACTGGCATCCATCCAAAGTGGTGAGGAAGAGTTGTTTGCTTCTGCAGCTGAGGTGCAGTGAGAGCTTTAATATGGCAGATGGATGGAGTAATCCAAAGTGTGTTTACTGAAGGTGTAGGTGGGTTTTTGTTTTTATTTTGGGAAGACAGGGAAATGGGAAGTCTCCTTTGGAAGATCAAAGACATTCTCAGTAACGTCCTGAGGGCAACAAAATAAAGTTCTGGGAGAACGAGGACTGTAAAGAGCAAAAAAAAAAAGATCTTTAAATAAATCTTCCCCGCACCAGCATCTCCCAACAGAACTCAGCCCTCATCCTCTCGGAGATTCATTGTTCAGAACAGACAGGTAGGATCCTCCATTTTGTCTGAGAGCTTTCAAAAAGATTCAGCTGAGAGAAAACGAAAGAACAATGGTGGCCAGGGCAGCCTGCGTGTCCCGCAGAAAGAATTCATGTACAATAAACACAGTCAGAGGAAATTCAAAAAACCTGCTCCTCGAATTATTCCATAAAGTTAGAGACAACACTTTGCCCCAAAGGAGGAAGTAACGTTGACTCGACCGCTTCATCCCTCCCTCCTTCCTTCCAAACCATTAAAGGCACTCCAGATTGGTCTCTCGGAAGCACTTTTTCCAGCCATCACTCCATTCATCCAAAAAATGCTGCAGAGTGTCCCATTCTCCGCTAAACAAAAAAGAGCAAGGTAAAGGTCAGATTAAAAAAAAGAGAGACATTTTAGCCACTTTTTCCATGAATGTCTTCTTTTTTTAAAATCCAATTTAAAGTGCATGAATGAGGTAAACTATTTCTTCATAGTTTCATTTGTCTCTTTTTTATAATTATTTGTTTGTTTTGTATTCATTCTTTTTATAAGAAACAACGTCTTTCTGATTCCTGTTTTTTTTTTTTTTCCCCGGTTTCATCCCCTCAGACAGGAACCATTCTGCCTTGCATCTGTTGCATTTGGGACAGCATACTCTGGACGCTGGTCAGGATCTTGTTCTGGTGCGCTGCCGAGGAAATGCCGATGCGCGCCATGTCCCTACGAAAGAATGGGGACAACAGACATTTTAAGAACCAAAGACAACAATAACAAATGTACAAAGGTCAGATTTAAATAATGAATTTCACAGCCTTCCAGTGAAAATTGGCTCGATGATTTTACTGTTACGTAAGACAGTTTCACTCGCCAACACATTAAATCTAGTTATGCAATCATTCCCAAACAAAGAACAATTTGAAATGTTGCAGAAAGGAGACAAAAATGATAGATTGGTTGTTTGGATGAGCTGTTTGGCATATTATCTGTGTCATATAAAAAAATGTTAGAAAGACAAACAGCAACTTATTAAAATTATCTGAGGTGCTTTTGAATGTCCTTTTTTTAAACCAGAGTCCAATTCATTTCAATTCAGTTTATTTATATGGCACCAACAAGTCCCAACAAATGTTGTATTCAGGGCACTGTACAATAAACAATCAACCTAAAGAAGCCAGCAGATAGTACTGAATCACTTCATTACAGTCTACCATCCTGAGCAGCACATTGGTGACAGTGGAGAGGAAAACTCCCTTTTAACACGAAGAAACCGCTTAGGCTCCCATTTGAGTCCAGGGCCAAAACTGAAAAGTTATCAGTGGTTATCATTTATAGTTTCCCTCCCGTCTCTGGAGCATGGCGGCTTCTCAGCTGCAGTAGCCTCCCCTGCAACACCGTCTGTGGCAGCATCTCTAACGTTGTGTCTGTGGCTGACGTATTTACAGCTTCATCTGTGGCAGTCGGTCCTGTTTCATCGTCGGCCCCAGTTCCCTCAGTGTGCCTGTTGTCATACGTCGGCTGCTGTCACCTCCAGGTCTCTGTTGTCAGCCGTCGTCACAACAGAGTCCCTTCTGTCACCTGCCGTCACCATCAAAGTTTCTCTGGCCTCCGGCAGCGTCTTCCTGGTCCTCTTCATTCCCCCTTGCCTCCTCGCCTGCAGCTCCTGTTTCACTTCTGCTACAAAGGTTCTCCAGGCCATGTTACAGAACTTTCTGTCTTTTCTTGTTTTCTTTCTGTATTTCCCAGGTTTCTTCCTGACGGTTTTCTGTTTTGATTTTGTATTTTCTGCCCTTGTGTTTCCTCTTCCTCCCTCCTGAGTTGGGGTTGAGCCATCGGGTGACAACCCATGAGGGTCTGAGGCAGACTCTTCTGATTTAGTCCTACACTTTACTGAAAGGGAGACTCTGATGCTTGATAACTGACTTTGAGCCCGGCTTTGAACCAATATTTTTTTACATCCATTCTTATACTTTAAACAGTGATTGTATTGTATTTCTTGATGTTATTATTGTATTGTTCCCTTCTGATGTTATTATCTCTAGTTTGGTTTCCTTTTTGTTCCAAGTGTGGTCCTTTTTATCCTTTATCCCTTATTACTTGTTAGTGTCCTTTAAATGCTTGTTCTTTTTTGTGTGGTTGTCTCCTGTACCACAGGAAACCAGGAGGTACCTGTGAGGTTAGCCTTAGGGTTTGTGGTCAAGGTTAGGCTGTAGAAATGTAATGGAAGTCAATGGAATGTCCCCAAATGTATAGCTGGGCAAACATGTGTGTGTATGTGCGTGCGTGCGTGCATGTGTGCGTGTGTGTGTGTGTTAGACAGGAGAATGTACTGGTTCAATTAAAGTTTGAATCTCGGCTCTAAATGCTCCCCGCACATGTACTGGACTCCTGCAATGCACGAATAAAACATTTTTTTAATTTAAAAAAAGCTAATATTTTTGCCTTTGTATGGCTGGATAGACATTTTTTCTTGCATATGAAATCTATAGCGTGTGAATGTAGTAAAATGTGTTTGAACAGTTTTTTTACCATTTTATTTTTTTAAATGTATTTAGTTATTTTACTTCATGCTAAGGTTTCTGATTTCCCTGTTTGTACTCACTCCTGTGTCATGTGAACCACAGTTTCTGGAGTGGTGTAGCCGGCCGCAGTGAAGTTGTCACTGTATTTCTCCATGCCGATGGCCTGCAGCCAATCCTCCACGGTGCCCAATGCCGAGGACGCCTCGGGGCTCCCTGGCTCCAGCAGTGTGGCGTTGGGCCTGCGGTGGGCGGACAAGAGAAAACTGGAACTTCATTTTTCCTGCTTTGGTTTTAAAAGATGAAATCTGCTTTCACTTCCAGTCTGATTTTACAGTTAGCATCTGAAGTTGCAGCTTTTTTTTTTTCGTTTTAAATATTTGACTTTACCCAAAAAAACTATCAATGCATCACAACTACAGCAGTGTTAATGGAAACATTTCCTTCATTTCTACCTACACCTACCATACTGTGACCAGGGTTATTATAGTTAACTAAAACTAACTAAATAACAAAAATGAAATTGAAAAAAACATTTTAGTTAACTAAAATAAATAAAAACTGTAATGAAATTAAAAATCGATAACTAACTAAAACTGTATAATCTTTTTACAAAACTAACTAAAGCTAACTGAATTTATAGATATAATATCCTTAGTTTTAGTGTTTGTCCATTTATTTTGAGACATGTGGATCATTTTTTTTAAATTGAGTAGTTTATAACATTAGCTGTGATCCGTAACAACACTTGTTTACAGTCTGATGTTGCTCAGCATCACCTGCCAAATGATGACAACAAAAGTTGGGAGAAAACGACAAAGTCCGTTTTGGGATTTCTTTGATTATGACTGCGAGAAAAATAAAAGCAAGTGTCTTGTAGTGGAAACAGATAATAAAATAGGTGGAAAACTTCTCAAGGGAAATACTGCATGAATCAAGCTCACGCAAGATAGCTAACTTCGACTATCTGGACACGCTAGCTTCTTTCAGTAGCTCCTGTGAAAAACAAGAAACAATTTGGAGACAACTATTATCATTGTCCTAAAATAATCACCCAAGTTTTTAGTTGGCCAAATTGAGTTATGCAATTATTTTAGTAAGGTGACTGCTTTAACTAGCAACCAAATAGCTTTTGGTTAGTTAACTCACAGGAACATCACAAGCTTGAGGATACATTGGCAAATAAAAAATAGAAAAAACTAATAATAGAACTAATAAAAACTAATTTAAACTAAAACTAAGTATTAAAAATGCATTGATAACTAATAAAAAGCTATTAAATCCACTGTAAAAACTAATTAAAACTAATCGAATTAAAAGGAAAAAAAGTCACAATGAAATAAAACTAAACTATAATGAAAAATCCAAAACTATTATAACCTTGATTGTGACAAGTGCACCTTGATGAGATGCCAACCCACAAACTGTAAAGTCTATCACGCTTCATTTCTTTTTAGCTTTTCCTCCTTCATTGAGTTGGTACGTCTGTTAGGTTCACCTCTGCTTTGTGTCCCAGCTGTGTGAGGCTCTAATACAGTGGTTCCCAAACTTTTTGTCTTCTGACCCACAAAATATTCATGGCAAAAACTTGTGACCCCAAATATTACTGGTCTGAGTACACGAACTTCGTTAATAACCCTAAAAACACAGGCTTTTTGACAATCTAAACAGCTTGTACACAAATATAAATACTTATTTGTAGTTATTTTGTGTTTTTGTAATATTTATAGGGAAAATATTACATCAGCAATTATTTTATTACCCTTTAAATTTATTTATGGAGATTATCCAAGGTGCTTCATGACCCATAATTTGGTCCCAAGCCCAACTTTGGGAACCAAAGTGCAGTGGTTCCAAAACTTTTCAGCTTTTGACCCATAAAATAACAGTAGCAGAGACCTGTGCCCACAACTATTTTTGGATGATAAATGTTTGTATCAGGTCAACAAACCATGGACATAGTAACAATATTTTTATTCTACATTTATCTATTTTAAATATACTAACCTCACACCTTTGTAACAACTAAGGCAAAAATGTAAGTAATTCAGAAAATCTTTTCAGGACCCCACCTTGATGTTTTGGGACCCCACTTTGGGTCCCGACCCCAACTTTGGGAAACACTGCTCTAATAGACTGAGCCAAGTGAAACACTGTTCCTTCACAGTAAAACGACACACTTAGTTACTCTTTATTTTGCAGAAAACATGAGCACACTTCGGTGAATTTTACAGCACAACATTTTCTCCAAACGTTCACATACTCTCAATTTGAATCCCTTTTACCACTTTTTTTCACTGCTTTTCACCTTTCTATTGCTGCTGTAAAGTGTTCACATGGGGTGAGTAACTCTGAGATGCTGTTGTCCCGCTCCGGTAAGTCTCTCACTGTCTCACCCTCCAACTCTCTCTTTAAAATTCTCTCCTATTTCAAAAAAAAGGGGGTTGAGGTAAGTCACTTCCACTCATTAGGCGGAAAGGGATCTTCTTCAAGCTACACACCCCTCTTACTCTGTAACTGCAAAAGTCACATTTATAGGATTCAGCCCTGCTAATTACTCAACATGGACTCCCGTCTTGCTCTCGTCGAGTCCCATTAGGTGAGCGTGCGCGAAAGAGCAACGCGCTCACACACTTGTTAAACCCAAACAGACTCCTGCTTGCTGTTCTTCGAGTCTGTAAACACACACAGGTCATTCTGAACACATTTAGCCACTGGAGAACAGCGGTGCTGGAGATGTAGGGCCATGTTTGTTTTAACTCAGCGTTACAT